ACAATTTCATAGTAGCAGAGGAAGGATGAAAATAGAAGTAAGGAATGAAGTGAAGCGCATAATGGTAACTTCGAACGCCGATACCCTTATACTCGGAGCTTCCGAAAATAGAGTGACCGAGAGTGAGAGTAGAGAGAGAACCAGAGATCGGCGAAGCTAGAGGAGTGACCGGAGATGGTGAAGCTTACATGCAATTGTAATTTTCGGCTAAGGTGAGCGTTCTGAGCACTCTCCTTCCCTTCTTTTCTCCATTCTCTGTGACATTTAAGAGTTGATGGGAAAATGAAATTTCTGGGTTATGAAGAGATGGGGGAAAACAAATGAAATAATGATGGAACAAGTAGATTAAATCTTGTGTAAGTGAGTATAAGTGTTGCCTGTTGATAATTGTGGTTGCATGTGGATTTCCTTGCTCTGTTTTTGTCGACCGAAATGGGGGTAAAAAGATTAATTAAAGTGGCATCGAATTGTGAGGTTTGAAGGAGAGGACACACACACACAGGCACTCACTCATAAACTAATCGGCTCGCATGATCATTGATATATGATACTACCTAGGGTCCTTAATATAAGAGTTAATCGATTATTAATTTGAGTAAATTAAAAAGACTAGTTAAGTTAGTTATTTGTAATAAACAGGTGTTGTCTTTTCTAAAATATCATTGCTAATCAAATGTACTAGATAGAGCCACCATTGTTATAAGAACTGTCTTAGGAAAAAAATAGATAAATATGAGTGATAAAATGGATTAGGATTTTATATTTAGGATCACAATAAAAGTCAAATGAGCTATTATATTAAGAACCGGAGGTAGTACACATGTATGTGTTCGTGGTTGATGTTAAGCCAAGGAGTTTTCGAATTTGGCTTGTTTTTTTTGGTGCTGCAGCGTCAGATTCCACAGTGGGGAATGGAAGAAAGCTTAAATAATGAATATGTGAAGTGTAAGAGTGGGATATGAGAATTTTCTGGAAATTAGAAGGACGTGCCGTCCAAATTATAAGAGAAATTAAGGACATTATAAGCTACGAAGGTTATATGTCTATTTGTTTAGGCCTTTCTGGGAACTAAAAGAGGAAGTTTGAAACTTATCAAGTATTCCCAAGGTATTAAAATGTGATTAAAGTTTCTAAAGTGATAATTAAAGATGGTGTAATGGTTGGAAATTTTAGAGATTGGATGGTCAAGTTGAATTAAATTAATTAGGCTGTAATTTATATTGCTAAAAGTTGAATGTAACTTGTTTATGCCGTTAAATGAAGTTTGAGAGCATTTCAAGGGTGACTAAGCATTGTTTTAAATCTGGAAAATTTCCAGATTTGAGTAAGGGGTTGAATAGAGGAGTTGCATAAAATCTTCATGGGAAATGTAGCATAGGTTATGGTACCCATAATGTAAAAACATGAGGATGATAGTTGGGAAAGCTGAAACTTTTGTGTAGCTTACTGTTGGGTTTAAGAACGTTAATCTTGAAATATTATTGGGGAATTAGTAAATAAATAGTCAAAAGAAATGAGGAACTCATTGGTCAACTTGGAATCTTGAGCAAGTATTTAAAACTGTTGGAATATGCTTTCAAGTGTTATCAAGTGGGGTATGAGAAGGACGCATTAAACGTCCTTAACTATATTAGATAAAATAATGTTTTTTTGACCAAGATAACTAGTTACTAAGTAAGGTAAGTGATTGGAGTTATGGAGAGAACAAAAAACATTTGGAAAGGCATATTATGATAGGAAAAGTTGTCTAAGATGACCAAATATTAAGTAAGGGTAGAATTGAAAGATGTTGAAATTATTTAAAGAAAGTTATTTAACTTATAGATTATAATTGGATCAAATAGTAACCTACCCTTATGTACGTAATAGGTTTTGATATTTGAATAAACCCACCCAGGACACAATGCAAAAAGAAGGAAGTCGGGTTTGATTTGGAAGTAGAAGACCCAGGTTGTAGCTTTTTCCTATCTTACAATTGATTGTTTTATGTCTATTTGTGCCATATTGCTATTTTAAAGTATAAGAACATGTAATCTTTAACTTTTTGTATGAATTATTTAGACATGATCACGTGTAGCCAATAGATATGGTACAGTGTCTGCCAATTATTTGCGTTTATTTATTCAACTTGTCTATTTGTCATTGTGTATAAATACTTAATTGCATGAGCTTGCAAGGTAATATTCTACTTTTACTTGTTTTGCATACTTTATGTGGTATGCATTTTTGTTTGATAGAAATTACTATCACAGGAATTAGCCTGGATCTCACTCTCCCTATCATGTGATATAGCTAAGGAAAGTAGTAGCAAAGGAAAGGAAATTGTATGAGAAGAAAGTGGGCTATAAGAAAAGCAGGAGTGCCTACTTCTTTTTGTATAAATATGCACTGTTGAATTATATCTATATCTTATTCATTTTGGCAAGTGGCAATTATTTGTTTATATATATATATATATATATATATATATATATAAATACTACCCTCTATAAGGAGGTGTACACACCACTGGGCGCAAGTCAGTGTTATCGGCCAAAATGACCGTTATATTTAAGCATATTAGTTGTAGCGAGTCTAAATATACTACCTCTGGTCCTTAGTATAAGATCCTGTTTGACTTTTATTTTGGTCCTAAATATAAGACCCTAATCCATTTTGTCTTTCATATTTATTCATTTTTTCCAAGATAGTCCTTCTAATAATTGTAGTCCTAGCCAATATAGTTGATTAGTAAGGATATTTTAGGAAAGGCAATACCTATTTATTACAAATAACTAACTTAAATTCTTTCCTTAATCTTCTCAAATTAGTCAATTGGGTCTTATAATTAGGACCGGAGGTAGTATATGTTTATTACTCCCTCCGTTCCTTATTATAAGAGACATTTGATGCTTATGGCATGTTTCTATATATAAAAGACACTTAAAAGTTGTCTATACTTTTTTGTGTTGATTTCATATTTTACCCATATTTATTGTCTCCAACTCACACTCTCTCTCCCTCCCACTTCTCTTTCTTTTGATAATTTAATTGTTCTCTCTCATGCTCTCTCTCCTTATTAATGAGGGCATTTTTGAAAAAAAAGTTTATACTTTTTATACATTGATTGTTCTTAACTAATTTTAACTGTTTTTTTTATCAACGTAATTTGGTTATTCGTCTCTTATAATAAGGAACGGAGGGAGTATCTATGAGTTGGGACCTATTGGTGTAAAATCATTCCTAGTCTCTTATTATTATTAAGTTATAGGTAGGATTTGATCGTGAATCACTAGACAGGTTTTTGAAAGCTTTGAATTTTGTTAAACAGTGAACTCTAATGTTATATACAGGTTCAACTCCTGTATTAGAATTTGATTTTTAAAAGTAAGAGTTTTGAAAAGTTATTTTTAAAAAAAATTGGCCGAGTTTTTCTTAGGCTAGCAACCTGGCAGAAGTGGTCTATAGTCCTTATATTAACCTAATTAGTATATAAGAGTTAGGTGTTGCAGACTGGATTAGATTTCAGCATTATCAGGAGGGATATAATGTTTATATAATTTGATGACTTTAAAAAAATATTAAAATTATAATTATCAAACTGAAAAGAGTTAATGTATTATTAAAAAATTGTAAATACTAATGAGCACTTAATTAGAATTTTTTTTTCCTTCTTTGGATACCTATGCAAACACCAAGCTATTAGATTCTTAGAGTAATTTTATCATTTCTTTTATAAGAGGGGACCAACTTTTAGAAGACTCCTTTTTCTTCCTTCTCCGTTGTCATTTTTTGTTTTTTTTCCCGATACTGTTTCATTGTCATTTTTTCCTCTCCCCATGGCAACAACATGACTTTTGTCCTTTTTTTTTTTTTGAAGAGATAACTTTCATAATACTACCTCCGATCCTAATTATAAGAACCAGTTGACTAATTTGAGGAGATTAAGGAAGTAAGTTGAGTTAGTTATTTATCCTAGATAGGTGTTGTCTTTCCTAAAATATCCTTATTAATTAAATGTATTGACTAGAATTATCATTATTAGAAGGGTTACTTTGGAAAAAAATATATAAATATGAGAGACAAAATAAATTGGGATCTTATATTTAAAACCAAAATAAAAGTCAAACAGAGTCCTATATTAAGGACTAGAGGTAGTAATATAGTTTTTGGCTCACATGCCTTCCGATAAAAGTTGATCCAAACAACATGGTGGAATTTTTTTTCCTTCCTTAATGTGACTTTACTGCTACTCCAAAATCCAAATACACCCTAAATTGCTTTTGCCTGAAAATTCAATTGAATTAAAAGTTGATCCAAACAAATGTAAAGAAACCACTGGTGCATTTTGAAATTTTGCCCCACATTTGGTATTAAAATTTGCACCACCTGCCGACACCACCGTGATATAGAGGCATGCAGGCAAGGTCCGATCCCCACCTGCAGCCAATAAGCTTGCCAAACAAAATTGTACTTTGATGTTGGTTACTAGAATTGGATCCTTGCTTGTCAGTAATAAGCAATAGGCTTGCCAAAAGGAAAAATTTGCACCACCCGTCTTCTATACCGCTCTTAAGCTCCCCTAGATATAATACTACCTCTGCTACTTAATATTTATAATAAATAGATGTTCTCTTTTCTATAGTATTTTTATTAATAATGTGTATTATCTACCATTTAATGGACCCTTTTATGTATAACTATTATAAGAATTATTTTAAAATAAATAAATAAATATAAGAGATAAAATAAATTTAAATGTTATATTTAAAACTAAATTAAATGTTAAATTAATTATATATATATATATATATATATATATATATTAAGGAGCGAGGTAGTATTTTCTCTTTTTCTGTGGCTGCATTACTCAGTTTTGGGCACAAAGCATTTGAGCCCGTTTGACAGGGTACATGGCACCAGGGAACTGCTTTAGAGTTACTAGTGGACCCTTTGGGCATTTGAAACTCCCTACAGCACCCAGTGACATCTTGATCAATTTGGGCTTTCGAAGTCCGAGATTTTGGGTGGGGTCCTCACCATCGTCCACGTGCCGAAAGTCTTCTCTCTCTGTTGTGCTTTCTTCTCCGGCGACGGCAATGGTGGTCGCTGTAGCAGAACCGTGCTCGGTTCTCCATTTCTTGGTTCAGTGTGGCCGTGGGTTTTTCTCGTGGAAAATCCATTTGCATCAAAGTTGTTTCGGCCTTGAAGGTACTTGTGTGTTTTGTCATTTCCTTTGCATATTGTGACTACCATTCTTTTAAAACCCATTTAGATCAAAATTTCAATTTATTTGAAAAATTAACCATAATAGAAAAGAAAAAACCTTAAAATTTTAAAATCACTATCATAGTTAAAAGAAATAAACTTATATCACGAGCACATCGATATTTAACTTGGGCCTTAGACTTTCAAAGTCCAGAAATATCATTCCACCCTTAGCCCAAACAAAAACTTATACTTTCAAACGAATGTCACGTGCAACATCTCAGAGGCTTCTGACTTTCTAACAGTTCTCTCATCAATTAGCAATAATCAAATGTATTACTCCCTCCGTTCCTTATTATAAGAGACGAATAACCGAATTACGTTGATCAAAAAAGTAGTTAAAATTAGTTAAGAACAATCAATATAATTTTTTTTCCAAAAATGCCCTCATTAATAAGGAGAGAGAGCATGAGAGAGAATAATTAAATTATTGAAAGAAAGAGAAGTGAGAGGGAGAGAGAGTGTGAGTTGGAGACAATAAATATGGGTAAAATAGGAAATCAACACAAAAAAGTAGAGACAACTTTTAAGTGTCTCTTATATATAGGAACATGACATAAGCATCAAATGTCTCTTATAATAAGGAACAGAGGGAGTAGTTCACAACAACAAAATAGATGAGCCCTATGTGGCAATATATAATAAAATAACACATAAGACAGAAGAGGGGAGGCTATATAAGAAAAACTTGGTCCGCTATCTTCCCTGACAGAACAGCCTTAGAGCTATTACCTGAAAATGTTAAACTACGAGGGTGAGACAAACGCCTCAGTAACTAACTTTCCAACTCATCATACATACTAACATGGGCTCGTGAGGTGTCAAATGGGACAATTATTAATTCTCGAGAAATATAGATATATCCATAGAAATATAATTTCAATCATCCAAACCCTCACTATGGGGGCCAACACACAAGCCACATAAGTCTATCCCTCACTATGGAGATCAATCAAACATATGGGCCTATCCCTCACTTTGGGGGACGAATAAGAAGCCACAAAGGCCTATCCCTCACTATGGGGGACGAAGGAAGAAGCCAATCAATGTGCACCAATGGTGGCCTTACCACGTGGTAGGATCGAACTCAATCCAAAATCTAAATAACAACCAAATCATTCATAATATAACGAAAAATGTCTCAATCTTTTCTTAGTATAATCCATAAGATATAAATCATATATCTTTTCCAAACTTCTCAATCACAATTCCAAAAATCCCACAAGACAATTTTCATAGCTCAACAGATATAATATATCCATTCGAGTTCCAAATAACAAATATTATTCAAAAATAGAAAAATACTCACAAACAACATATTAGCACATACAACAAGTGGAAAGTAGTTACCTCTCGCCAAAGTAATAGAAGGATTACCACAAGGTCAATCCTTTGCTCAACCAATAATTAATCTACACAATTAATATAACCACATATTAATATAAACTAATTAATTAATTAAGCTTATATATTAGTTAAATTCCTAATTTAATTTAATTTTCATTCTAAATTCTCACAACTCTTATAACCCAAAATTAAGTACTTTAGAACTAATTGATAATTTTCTAACAAGCCAAATTATTTATTTACATCCTCCAATTTATTTACTTTAATAAAAAGAATTTTCTAAAATTTCTAAATATGAAATTAGTATATTCTAAATTCTAAAAATCTCATTTGAAATTTAAACCTCAAAACCGAACCATCAAAAATTCAATAGTATCTCAAATATTTATATATATAAATAATCTAATCAAAATTTTAATGGCATATATATATTTTTTTCATAAATAAGAAACTTTAACTACAATAATTATTTTAAAACCTCTAGTCACCCAATAAATAAAACTAAACCGATCAAAATTTTAATAATATGTCAAACAACCCAAATAAATTATTTAACTTAATTTTAATCGGTATAAATATGATATATCTCATAAATAACATATTTTTTTAATTAAAAATTAATTTTTAAATACTAAAATCAACAAATAGACAAATCTAAACCGGTAAAAATGATCTACTATAACAGATCTACAATGCTGTGGTTAACACTCATCAAAACTAAATACTTGCTCTGAACTATATATCAAAAATTTTCTCTAAGCAATACAAAATTACTATCATTAGATAGATCTGATTGAGTAGGACAACTTTCATGAAGGAAGTTTTGTAATTAGAAGTAGTTTTACTTACCAAAACTATTTGAAACGATGAAGAAAGAAGGGGGAGAGATGAGCGACGCTTCGAGAGGAATGAACGCGGAGAGAGAGAAAGAGAGAAAGAGAAAGAAGACGGGAGAAGGTAAAAAGAAAACACTTGAGGTAAAATGAAGTTAAAGACCCTAGGTAAAATGTAAAAAACAACAGTTTGAACCCTTTTTTTTTTTTAAAATATCTAAATCCTTAGAGTAGAATTTAAGATGTTACACATATAGCTTGCGGAATTAGACCGTCCAAGTGGAAGGAATATGAGCACCTTAAACATCATGTCCTAGGTTTTATTTTTAGACGGTATGTATGAAAAAATACTGTTGGGCTGGTCCGCTACGCTGCCTGATTACCGAACGCGGGAGGATACTCTGGCCAACAAAAAAAAAAAAAAGCTTGCAGAGTTAGGGTTCCAACTTTGCCGGTCTTGTATTAATAATAAGAGAAAGCTGACGCGGGCAGAACCCTTGCCCTGTCTCTCACAAGTCGTATCAATAACACTAGAGATATTGCATTTCTATGTTTTCTATGTAGACATAGCTGTTTCCTTGATAATTCTCTTGATTTTTCTTCCCATTTTAGATGAAGTGGCAACGCTTCTGTTTCTTACATTTTCAGATTCATATGTTAAACGAGGAAAGAACAGGGCAGGGTAGAACGGGGTGGGGGCAGTGGCAGATAGTGAATAATCCCTTGTTTCTCACCACTTGCCATTCCTAGTTTGAAATCCCAGTTGTTTTGTGTAAGTATGTTCCTCCGTAGATTGTTTTTGGTGTTGATCTTTGAATTGCGTGGCATATTTAGGTTTTTCAACTTGCCTATTGAGCTGGCCTTTCTGTGTGTTTACATAGTTGCTCATCGTAAATTTTCAATTTTTGGTTCTCCTTCTCGTTTTGAATTTGTGTGGCCTGCTACGAGAATTTTTGTTATATACGTGATGGGTATTCAAGTTCCTTAATAGGGTACCATAACTTAACGACATCCTGATGGGGAATAGCAAAGAAAAAGGAGAAGGGGAAGAAGAAAACGGGAGAAAGATAGAGAAATAAGAGTGAGAAAAAGGAAGCTGGGGGAGAAGCAGATTACAATGACTGGTCTGATACTTCAAATGTAAAGGACTAAATTGATAATAATGAAATTTGAGTGATCAGTGCATTGAGAATTGGGGATTTTAGTTGGATTGTATGTAAATTGTTGTTTAAAGATTTGATAAGAGCTTGATTAATGCTTGTATATGTTTGAGAATAGAGTTTTGATACCAGAATACTTGTTTCATGATGATTATATCAAGTGTAAACTAGATGTTTGATAATATGCTTGAAAGAAAATAATTATAACATTGTTGGTAGCTTATTGTGATAGTTCCCAACGCAACTTTGACTTGACCTTAATTGATGAGATATCCTAGCTCCTTATTAGTATAATATGTGATGCCAAAGCAAGTTCAATTTCAGCAAACTTGGGAATATTATTGGCCGGCAATATGATATTTTTGAATAAGATGCTCAAACTTAACTAATATACCATCATTATATAATAATCTTGAAGCAAAACAACTATAGTTAAAAATAATTGTTGAATTCATATATAGGTATGTATAAATTGAATATACGATCTTATTCATCTAAGTTGGGTTGGTTTTACACTCAAATCTGTATTAATACTGCTAAATTGATCTTTGAAACTTGACAGGCATGATTCAAGCTCAATGAAGCAATATGCTGATTCAATCCAAATGATACCAGAGTCCAGCAATAGCTTAGTTGAATCTTGTGTTCTGCTCCCTTAACATGACCCCTCCCTCATCTCCCCAAATGCAATTACCAACAGTTTCATGGCTTGGCGCTATTTCTTCCTGGACAGTATTTCTAGTCTCAAAATGAAACCCTCCAAAACCCTGACCTTACCAATCTCTGCATCTCATTCTCTTCCTTGGAACCCTAATCTTGATCTGGTTAAACTCTATCTTCCCCGCTTTATTTCTCCATTTTCCACCTCCTTCCTTCCCACTAAATCCCCTAAAAAGTTTAAGAAGAAAGGCAAGAAGAAAGAGAGCCCTCGAACCAAACTCATCCAAACCGAGGCCAATCGTATTTCTTACTTGGAACACATTGTCAAACGCGATATTGAGTTCAAGTTTCTCATCAAGTCTAAACAATTCCTATCCAAGCAACCTGAACACGTGCTACGCCTTGATGATGCTGGCAAGCTATACCATGAATTGGGATTTCCCCGTGGTCGGAAGGTTTCCTGCTCAATTGGGCGCCATCCTCTGATTTTTGAGACTTATAGGCACACTGATGGGAAAATGTGGTTTGGCTCGGCGGAGTTTATGGAAGAGTTGCTTTCTGAAGAGCAATCAATCATGGATGCCATGGAGATGGATCGTGTAGATAAAGGCATTTTGTCATTGGCCGTGTAAAAAATGGCTTGATTTGAGAGACGAAAGGTCAGCCTCTTGATACAGGGATACTTGTGGTGGACGTCAAATGAAAATATTTGCCATGTAACCTCGCAAGCTAAGATGTTTCTACAATTAAGGTAACACGAGATCTCATCAAAATCACGTCGTGAGCTACTAGGCTTATCATTGTGATATAGCCTTGGGATGATATAGTCATGGCCCTTACTAATTTATTTGAACAAATACTTGATAGCTCTTGACTGGTTTGTCTTTTCGACATTTAAGCGACCTTGGAAGAGCCACAGCAATTGAGCATTGTACAGCACGACATATTTGTTGTTCAACAAAATTCCTTTCTTTGTTGTTGTTCTACTATTATTTCTCCTACAGTATGTGGGATATCCCTCGTCGTCTATTGTTGTGTGTGGTACATATCTTCTGGGTAAGCACTTTGAGCACTTTCCATCTTTTATGCAAGGTAATTTTTTATTGGAGCTACCACAAAGTCCGTGCAACATGAAATTGGTGACAAGCTCGAATAGCTTCGAGTTTGTGTTATTGTCAGATATCTCTGCTAAGATGATTCTGTTGACATCTTTAGATGTTTTTGTTTTCTCATCTAGCTCTATGAACATAATGATTTGCGTATGCAGCAGCCCTCTATTTTGGAACTTAATTGTATATATCTCTTAAAATCCACATATCAGCATACGATGGGGTGTATTTCCAAATTACAAAAGTAAATGTAAGAATGTAACTATAGGTTCTGTATCAGTGAGATAGTTGGGATATTGTGCTGGATGGTTTTTGAAAACGGATTCTTTAAGTTCCACATACTTTGTGGAGAGGAAATTAAAGAGAAGTTGTATTGTTATTTGCTTTGATGGTATTGAATATTTTTTTATCCTTAACGCATTTCATCAGTTTTTATAAGTTTGAGGTTGAATATCCTTGTCAAAATGTTAGGTCGATTATATGTGTTGAGGTTATGTTTCTTGTAGAATCTTGTTATCTCAGGTTATGTTGGATTACAGGTGAAAGTTAAGAAGATGTCTAGGTATCCTGCCCATCTGCATATCGTCATGGCGTCTTGTTAGTTATGGATCATGTATCTGGTGCCTTCGGTGAAAGAAGAAGGTAGGATTATCCTCTTTTCTGTGTTAGCGCATCTATCTTGCCACTTGTTATTTCATCAGTGAGTGCTTTGTATAGGTCAACTCTGAGCTCTTTTTGGTGTCTCCTTACGTAGTCAAGCCTCTCATTCTCTACCATTGCAAAGCCGTCTGTAATGAATTGCTATAATAACTTCTTTGAGTGCAGTAATGCAGACTCCTTTATGTTTTTGTCCATCAGTATGAAAGCTAGGTACTCTCATATTGTCATATTCTTTTTCTTCTTGGTGCTAATAAGGACTACCTCATTGTGTTCTGTCTTTGGTATGAAACCGTTGTTGTTGTAGTGGAAGATAAGGGGATATTAAAGCTACAAGTATGACTTGTGTAGCTCATGGATGCACATTAGGGAGCTTAGGTTTTTTTCTTCTTCTATGATTATGTCTTTGTTGACATGTAATTCATTGAAATCTCTGACTATAAGTGGGTGTGAACACCCAATTTTGCCCCGGCCCCACAAAACAATATTAAATGTAAATAAAATTTAAAAAAAGGGACATAAAAGAATAATAAAAGATTAATATCCTTCTTGATTTTTTTTAAGAAAGTTTGAGAAATTCACCATGTGACAAATCAAAAAAGAAAAAATAAATAAGAATATCCCTCTTACAATAAATGACAATAAAATAAAAGATAAGAATTAAAAGTCAATTAACCTATAATTTAGGAAATGTGAGGTAGACACATTAAAGGAAAAAAAAATCAGAAAATAAAAATAAAGATTTCTCATTTAAGATGATTGGCTCTTCAATTTAGAAATATTTTTTGGAGTTATAATTGTGAAAATTTTAAAAAAAATGAACATTAAAATAAAAAAAATCAAAATTTCATGATGATTTGATGTTTAAATAGGAAGTTACATTATGAGTCATAATTGAAAAATTTTTTTTTAAAAATTAGGGAAAAATTAGAAAATCTTAGATGGAGCTTATAAATAAAAGAGTAAGGGTTAAAGGAAAGTATTGGGAATTTTCTAGTGAAAAAAGAGGCAAGATAGATTTCTTTTCTATCATCTTATTTCATGACAATGAGTTGGGTTGAAGAAAGAAAGAGGAGACTTAACTAGAGAAAAGTTCTTTGTTCATCTTCTTCTTTCTTCTACCTAAGGAAAGCTTATGCTCTTGTGATTGTTATTACACTTGTAAGCTTGAGTAGTGATGTCTAGAATGTTGAATCAAATATGATTTCAGTTAATTCTCACTACTCCCTTTCTCTTTGATTTATTCGATATATGTCCTTATCAATCTCCCATATGTACTTACTTTGATACCTACTTTCTTCTTCTTTTATTTTCATTTTATTTCATTTATTTTATTTTTGTCCATGACATTTTGCTAATATGTGTATATAGTTTTTTTATTATTGGCTTATTATATAATGTATTTTTTTAGCCAACTGATAAGTGGGGCATCAAATATGAATTTTCATTCTTATCTATTATGTTTAACTTAAGTTTCTTGTTGAATTACTTTTGAGTGTTCTTTCTTTTCATTTTCAAAAGCACTTCTTTTTTTTTTTTTTTAAATCTATACCATGTGAGGTTTTCAGAACCTCTACAGGTATCTAGATTTATTGGTAAATCATGTGAGACTATGAGAGTCTTTGCAGGATTGCCAATGTGGTTGTGCAAATTTACTTTTTGAAACAAAAAGAAAGAAAATAATTTTGGCCCCCATGTTTATAAATAAATAATAAAATAAAAAGCCCTTTTTAAATATGTATATATATAATCTCAAAATGTTTTTTAGAGTTATGTAAGGTTTTTAGAACCTCCACAGGCTCGATCGATTATTCTCTCGTGTGAGGTTATAGAGATCTCCATAGGGAGGGTAATCCAAACATTCCTTCAAAAAATGTTTTCTAAATAGAAATAAAAATTATTTTCATCTATTAAAAAATACCAATCCACAAAAAACCTTTTTTAATTGGATAAATATTTTGTAAAAATTACCAACCAAGTAACGTGCAATTTTATCCCCCAAACTATTTGGGGTTTAATCCCTCTAAAAGGTACGTAGGCATTAGGTTTTTATTCTAGATCAAGTCCAGCTTTGTAAATAATTTCTTTTTTCTTTTTGTAAATAAAAACTTTTCTTTGTTTCTATCTTTATTCTTTTAGAATAATTAAAACATGATAAAAAGGCCATATTAATTTTGAGTAGTTGACTTAAGGTAATCATTCTCTTGAACCGGTGTTGTGGGGTGCCTAACACCTTCCCCACACACAATCAACTCCTGAACTTTATTCGTTTTTCATACACCACATTTCTTTTAGGTTTTCGAAATTAACCTTTTAAAATTTTAGTGGTTACTCCTCTTTCTTTTTTACAGGACGACTAGGATTCGGGCGCAATAATGGGGCTACCTCCGACGCTATGGGCAGCTCATAATTTTTCTATCTTTTGATTCTCTACGGAGCCGTAGCCTAATTTTGACAGTCTTGTCTTGTTAGAGGATGTATGATACCATGCTATATTTCTTGACTAGGGCGTTACGTTGGTGGAGGCAATCCTTAATGTCCATAGCAACAGCTTCATCAATACTTGATTTGTCTAGATGGTGCCTGCAATTCAAAGCAAAGGGGTTTATTGTGAAGTATGCTGTAGAGGCAACATGATGATGGAGGACGTAATTAGCATGAAGGGGACATACCTGATCATTGCCATCTGATTCCTTATTTCTTTGTTTGTGTTGTAAATGAGCAGCTGTGAGTACATGTGGGGACATCCTTCATGTGGCAATAAGCTTCCCAAGAGATGATGATTTTGGCCAGACATGATGAAGGAGTAGGGGCCATTCCCACTGGCATTGAAGGAATGGTTAATCTTTCCTCCCATTAAGTTGAAGTAGAACATATTATTGTAGGCTCTGATGCTTGTCAATAAGTTTTTAGATTTTAGATGTTTTTTTTGGAAGAAAAGCTTCCTGAATTGTTCTGTTGGGGTTTGGAGGTAAGGCACAACAATCTTGCCATTACAGTAGATTGAGAAAAGCGAGTATTTAGCAGAAGAGCATCACTTGTGGTGCTCACCGAACCAAAACAACGTACTGCAAAATTGATACTTGTAGACGGGTTCTTCATATGGTCTAAGCAGCCAGTAGCAGACACACAAGGCTAGGTGTATTTAGTAGCAACGAACATTTGGCTGCCAGCCAGATGGAAACTTCTATGCTAGTGCCTATGTGCAAGGTAGGGCTTCAATCAACTTTTTTTCTTTTGGGCATCATTACTATATTATGGCATTATCGGGACGGAGGGCTAATTTGTTTAAATATCTAATGATTAAATGTTTGGGGAGACTGGGGTTCTTTGTTGCCTATTGACTTGTGGCACTACACTATGCTGTAGTTTGTGTTAATTTCTAATGGTATTATTGTTTCTGCAGTGGGATAATGCCAATGAATCTCTGATCCAACTAAAATAAATCAAAATAAATTATGTGCTTATTTGTGTACAGTGCAATAATTCATGCGTCCACGGGAAATTATTTATTATTATTTCAACTGATTATGCAGGGGGAATAAAAAAATAAGTATGCCAAAATATACTAGCATAAGGGCATAGCATTTCTAAATTGGCCGCAATTTATTATAAATGCATATTATTTTATTTGAAGGCGAAATGCTGAAATTTCATATTAAGCATAAGAAGCATATAATGAGCGCACAAAAATGGAGTTACCAAAATAACGCTGCTTGTCTTAATGGGGGAGAAATTTAATTATAATTGTCCAATATTTTTTTAAGGCAAATTTATTAAATTTCAAATCGCTTAATTGTGAACAGTAGACTAATACGACGGCATACGATACTCAACTAAACCATTCTTTATGTCCCCATGCTGAATTAATCTCTACTGTTGATTCTAATGATGATCCCCCCTTGACATATGTTTTTCGTATGAAAATGAAAGCCATTATTGACACTGGATTTTATTTATCTTGAATTGCTGATCATGGATTTTATTTGTGAACCGTTAGAATTAATAACAAAACTGGTCTTGCCCCTTAGCTTGAAAGTTATAGTTTTTCATTAAAATAATTTATTTACATGGTATCATAGCCTTTGTAATATATGCAGTTACAAGTACGATCCTTGCTGTTCCTATTATCATTGAATTAAAATTTGTTAATCTCTGGATCAGAAGATGGAATGATTTTGTCCGCATGTTCAAGCATGCAAAAGGTTCTATCCTGACTACTC